AAGAAGAATCTCCGCTTTAGGGGCCGTGGAGAGAGAGGGTGGTGTGTGTGTGTGTGTGTGTGTGTGTGGTTGTTTTACTCCTTAATCTGCTGAATGGGGGACAGCTGCTTTAATTATCCCCTTTAAATCACTCTGCCCTTAGAGGGGAGCTGCCCTGCGCACACCCCACTTCTTTCTCCTCAGGGCATGTCAGCATTTGAAAAGGCCCAACTGATTCCTGCACTATTTTTGCAGATCTCTGAACCGCTAGTTCATTAGGTGGTTCGCTAGATGGGTCCCCAGATTGCACCAGACCTTAAACTGCTTCTTGCAACAAACCGCTTGCTCTGCATTGGACAAAGAGGGAGACTTGACAGAAACGGGTCTGGTGAGCTTAACTGTTGGTGGATAATTTTTTATTTTTCCTTCTTTTTTTTTTAAAACTGGAGCCCTCGCTAGGACAGGAAATGAATCCACTGAGCCACCCAGTCTGCTGAATGCTGATATAAAGAACATATGGAAGAGGGCAGTGCAGAGGTGAAGTGGTTTAGCTATTGCAATCATGCATCAAGCTGATTGATTTGAATCCAAGATGATGCTGACATTTCAACTCAAGCTTTTTTCTCCCCCTGCCCCCCTTGATGGCTGAAAGTTCAAAGCCAAGAAGAATCTCCTGGGAGAGGAAAAGGATCCCTAATCTATTCAGGGGCTCAGCTCTGCATTACCATTAGCCAGCTAGTGAAGACCTTGTTTTACTTTACAAATCTGACATAAGGTTGTTGTTTTTTTTTTAAACTCCAATTTAGGATAGTAGCCAATAAGCTATTTACCCTTCAAACAAAGTGATGACAGAGTATTTGGGACTGCCTAGACTAACCCTCCACTGTTAGTGACACTGTTGTGTCTTTAAAGGTATGTTTTAAAAAAATTAATTAAAAAAAATTAGGAAGTCAGTGATCCTGGTTCCAGTAATAGTCTGAATGATAATTAACTCTCCTGGTCCTTTGCATTCTTTTAAATGCTCTTGAGATGGGCATATAACAATTTAATAGTAAAGTGACTTTTGTGTGTAAAGGATTCAAAACATTTATTAGTATTTGTGCTTTAGTACCCAGGAGCAAACAGCCAACCAACAGGGAGTAGAGGAAGTCAGAGAACATGGTAGAGGAGTGTATGAAAGTGAGCGATAGTTTGGTGTGTCTGGGATTTCTAAAGGAGCCTGAAGAAGTTAGGCTCCCAATTCCCTGAATGTATCTGAGAAAAAGGAAAACTCACCTACTGTTGAAACAAAGGCACTGCTGGGCTGGAATGTGAGAA